AATTATAAATGATTTTATAAATTTTTATGCTTCTAGTTCTAGCTCTGGTAGTGCTTATGGAATAACTGAAGATGAATGGACAGTTATATGTAAATTAAATGAGATGTTACAAGTTTTTTATGATGCTACTATGTTATTATCTGGTTGTTATTATCCAACTATTACTTTAGCTGCTTTACAAATTTTAAATATTCAAAAAAATTTTACAAAATATCGTATGGATGATATTTTTGGAAGTATAATTTTTGAAATGGAGAGTAAATTTAATAAGTATTTTAGGCCTATTCCTCATATTTTTGGTATTGGTGTTCTTATTGATCCATGCTTGAAGGAAATTGGCCTTCGAAGTTTGTTACAATCATTGTATGGTGGACAGATTATAGACTTAGATGATGGATCCACCCTTACTGCTACTACTCATTATTTAGCTATTAGAAATTATTTTCAAACCTTATATGATGAGTATGCAGCTAGATATGGTGTAGCTACACAACAGTCTTCAGCTTCGGCACCTTCAGCTTCGAGCACAGGTCGAGGTAAAAGTGTAAGTTTTGATAGGTATGCAATGGTAGCTGAACTAACTGGTGGATCTGGAACTTCATCAGGATTAGATGTTTCTGAAATAGATGAATATTTTTCTGCTTCTTTAGTTAGATGTCAAGGAAATGCTTTAGATATTTTGCAATGGTGGAAAGTATATGGATCAGTTTCATATCCTATACTTTCCACCATGGTTCGTGACTTACTATCAGTGCAGGTTTCGACTGTAGCCTCGGAATCCGCTTTCAGCACAGCAGGACGTTTGATCGACGACCACAGGACATGCTTAGATCCGTATACTGTACAAGCGGTGATGTGCTTACAGGATTGGTGGAGATACGAGAAGCGAACACAAGGCATCGAACGGATTGCTATGATTGAAGATAAATTTGAAGAGTTGGGACTAGCAGATAGATATAATGATTAGATAATATTCATAAAATTGTAATTTTTATTTCTTAGCTTTAAATTTGAATTAAATTATTTCGAAAAAAGTTGCAAATGATAGTGATATGGGTGAGTAGGTGCCAACCTAGTTGGGATGTACTCATCTATTGTGATGCGACGAATTTCGAAATAAATTTATACTTGTAAAGGATTTACCGATTATTAATAAAGAAGTTATTTTTATCATTTTTTGTACTTGTAATTTATGTCATTTCATTTCAAGTTATTAATAAAATTTATGACATTTTTTATAATAATTTATAATTTATGGTTTTGTTAAAATTTAAAAAAATAAAAAAAACAAAATTAAAAAAAAAAACAAACCGGGCCGGCCCGGTGTCCGGCCCGCTCAGGCCCGGGCCCGGGCCCGGACCCGGCCCGGACCACCCGGGCCCGGGTCCGGGCTTGGGTTTTGCCCGGCCCGGGCCCGGACCCGGCCCGGACCACCCGGGCCCGGGTCCGGGCTTGGGTTTTGCCCGGCCCGGGCCCGGTTTTCCGGGCCGGGCCGGGCCGGTCCGGATGGACAGCCCTAGTTTTAGCTATATGTAGAAGGGACAGCTGTTAAGCTACCTAAAATATCAATATATTAAACTAAATTGATTCATATTATAGAAGACTCTAAGTTATGTGAAAATTTTACCATATACATTTGATGACATGTTAAACAAGATGTACGGTGCCGATCATGAATTTGATGAGCCGATTAGTCTAGCTCATATTAAGATTTGAGTTCACCATCTCACAATATCATTACTATGGGTGAATAATCAAGTGGGGACCATTTTTAAGTGGACACCTTTAAATGAGTGGATAAAAAACATCCACGTCGCTAATAAACACCAATTTTATACTTGATACCAAACATACCCATTATTCCCACGTAGGGTATCAATGCATAGTCTTACACACACACATGGAATTTGGCAATAATCCTTTAGATTACGCTAGTAATACATATACGCGCGAATAAGTACTCAACAGTAAAGAAATTATCAAATTCTAGCTAAGGGCAGGAGACTTGGGAGCCATCAGAGAGGTGTAGGGTACACTTGCTCTTCTTAGGAGCCAAGCAGCAGTTGCACCTTGGAGAGAGCTTCTGGTCGCCAGAAGACTTGCAGGTCATGTACTCCACATCAAGGCAATATTCAGGGCAAGCCCTCACTCCTATGATGCTCTTCTCAAACCCCCCGTACAGAACCATTCCTTTATTAGAGGGGTTTTTTTAAATTAAAAAAAAAAGATATCACACAGCACATGAAATAAAAGTAGTTAATTTTTGAGTGGTTGTGTATATGCACAACTTAATTATATAATAACAAGTGCAAAGAGTTGAAAGAAGGGTTAGTACCAGAGAGCAGGAGGAGCAAAGTCATGGAGAATTTGGTGGCAGCCACGGCTTCTTATTGGTTTGAAGAAATTAAGAGATCAGGGGGGGGAGATGTTTATATAGAGGATCTCTGTGGGAGATGATTTGGTGGGTCGTCTCTCAGTAATGCTTGTATTTAGAAGCAGAATTCTCAATGACAGGGATGGCCAATTTTGACTTTAAAAGATTGAATAATGGGAGGCTATATAACAAATATCAAAGTGTAATCGTCTTTATAGCCTATTTTAAAGCAGTAATTGAGTGACTTCAGGTGATGGATAATGATGGGCACCAGAAAACAAAAAACAAAAAACAAAAAGAAGAACATAAAAGATTAAAAAAAAAAGATATCACACAGCACATGAAATAAAAGTAGTTAATTTTTGAGTGGTTGTGTATATGCACAACTTAATTATATAATAACAAGTGCAAAGAGTTGAAAGAAGGGTTAGTACCAGAGAGCAGGAGGAGCAAAGTCATGGAGAATTTGGTGGCAGCCACGGCTTCTTATTGGTTTGAAGAAATTAAGAGATCAGGGGGGGGAGATGTTTATATAGAGGATCTCTGTGGGAGATGATTTGGTGGGTCGTCTCTCAGTAATGCTTGTATTTAGAAGCAGAATTCTCAATGACAGGGATGGCCAATTTTGACTTTAAAAGATTGAATAATGGGAGGCTATATAACAAATATCAAAGTGTAATCGTCTTTATAGCCTATTTTAAAGCAGTAATTGAGTGACTTCAGGTGATGGATAATGGTGGACACCGAAAAACGAAAAACAAAAAACAAAAAGAAGAAGATAAAAGAACTAAAGAGTGAACATTCATGTTTCATTAATGCGCATTCCAATTACTCAACATTTGTTGATCAGGTTTTGAAGAATCGACCACGTAATCAAATCTCTGGAGTTAGAGCATCTCCAAGAGTGATCTTAGGTTTTTCTTATATTTGAGGAGCAAATCTCTCATCCTAGAAAATAGGGAGCCAAATAAGGAGTAAGTGCTCCAACAATGCTCCCCAAATGGTTCCCTTTCTTATGTCCTAGACTAAATATAGGGAGTAAGAAAAGTAAAAAGTCACTCCAACAATACTCCATATGTTGAGACTAAATATAGGGAGACACTTTGTTATTCTTGATTTGGAATACCAAATTCTATTCTCTATATTTAGTCTTCAACATAGGGAGCCTGTTAGAGCAACTTTCTCCCCTTCTACTCCCTATATTTAGTCTAGGACATGAGATAGGGAGGCTGTTGGAGATGCTCTTAGTTCTCTACGCACACGCATATAAACGAAAAAGTCCTGTTAAAACTTAGAAGCATAACATCTCGTACCTGCTCTTTTCTGGTGTTGGGTTCTTGCTGATAAACTTTTCCTACTTGTTATTTGGTAGAGAAATAGCTCGAAGAATAAAACACTCAGCAATAAAAAAACACGGGTTTATGTAGTGTAGAAATAAAATTTAGCATTTGTGTAAAGTAATAAAAAAATATTAAACGGAAATTACTTATTCTGTATATATATTAAATAATAGCAAGAATCAATGAACTAATTCCTTAAGTTGTCAACTAAACCAGATAAAACCCAAAAAATCATTACGAAAAAAAATAGTCGGCTACTAAAATTCATCATAAGTCAAAGACGATCAGCGTAACATTTAGAAATAAATTTTGTGCAAGTCGCAAGACACGATAGTTGCTTCGCTCTTTTATTCGGTCGCGTAACTACAGGGTACATAGACTTATACGTATACACGGGATTCATTAGTCCGTACACTACCCAAGCAATGAGTATTATACGAGTATTCTACCGTAATCGCTGCTGGATCCCAACTTTCTAAGTGCAGGAGATTTCAGAGCCATCTGAGAGATGTAAGGTGCAATAGTTTCTCTTAGGGACCCTGCAGCAAGTGCACCTTGGTGAAAGCTTCTGCTCGCCGGAGGACTTGCAGGTCATGTAGTCCACATCAAGGCAGTATTCTGGGCAAGCCCTCGCTCCCTCGCTCCTCTCAAACTGCCCAAACAGAACTACTCCTGTTTTTTTTTTTTTTTTTGACACATAATACAGAGAGTAAAGAGGTTAGTTTTGAGTGGGTATGCGCGCATACATGCATATGCACACACATCTTATTTGGCAATTGTAGAAAGTTGACAGGATTAGTACCAGAGATCAGGAAAAGCAAAGCCATGGAGAATTTGTTGGCGCCTGCCATTGATTCTTACTGGTTTTGAGAAAGAGAGATCAGGGTGAGATGCTTTATATGAAGAGTCCCAGTGGGAGCTGATCGATGGTCAAATTTGTAGGGAACTTCTTGCATTTTTCGGTTGATTTTCTCAGTTATAGTAGCGGGACCCAATTTAGACCAAGGATTGAGTGATGGGTTTTGATAGTAGCGGTCAACTTAGACCAAAAATTGAATGACGGAAATTACAAGGATAAATCAGAGTGGACTGACTTTTGTTTGGATCCAAAAATCAAATGTTATAGCTACCTTGAGGAAGCAAGCGGTGGGCTTCAAATGAGTTGACAATAAACGGATGCATAGAACACTGGAAAACAAAGGAAAGAAGAGTGAATATCCTTTGCTTCATTGATACAAATTTCCTATTGATCAAAAACCTAGACCAGATTGTGAAGATTTAAAATCTCTAGGGCCTATAATAAGCATATAAACAAGATTCCTGTGAAAACTGAGAAGCATAACAAGAATAACTGTACTCTGTAGCATCATCAAACCATAGTAGAGAGAATTTTAGAAGGGGCATCCACCTAATTAAATACAGGTGTGATGCCATGTAGGTCAAAACCACACAAGTTCATGATTAGCCATAGCAACGTAACCCATCAATGACTGCAAATTACCGTCGTAATCTATGGGTTAAAAAAAAGGAAGAATTCATTATTGCCCGAGTAAAACTCTGCGAGGGTCCAACTGCCCACTGAAGTAACTGGATCCAACTATTGAAAGTTCTTGGCTCGCGGTCCACTCCTCGTCAGGTTTCAGGACAATTGGAGTCTCAACCACAGCAGAGTCCACGCACAACATTGACATGTAATCTTCGTCCCCAAAATCTGCAAGAGATTTGGCCTTCTTTTCCCATGGATTCCAGACTCCTGCAAGAATTAAAACATTGAAAGTTTCGGTCATATAGCATGTGAGAGAGAATAGTTACATCCTATACAAGTGCTTGGAGAAACCAATTATGAAGGACAGAGACGCACCGGCATCAGGAAATCCTTGTTTTCTAAGTTCCAAGGTTCTTTTCCTCTCGTGATCAATGACTGCAATCTTCGATGGTGTACTTAAATATACTCTGTCAACCTGTCAATTAAAAGTTCAGTTACATTGTGGCTTATCATTGAGCTCTACATTTTCACCACATTGCCTTCCATATTACGCTCCAGCTGTTGGACTTCATTGCCCATAGTGCGATAACTACATTACATATTTATAAGATTAAACGCCACCAAAAGTTATGACTAGAACTAGTAAGCATTTATCTCATGTCTGCATACTTCTGTAACATTTCAGAGGTATGGCTATCGAGAAATAGAGCGTTGGTTTTTAATACTTAAACTTAGTTAAAACTAATCTGCAGAAAAAACTAGCCTCTTTTAGTGGATGAAGAGCTGATATTTAGAACATGTGAGTCAATGCAACCCTTGGGTGATGCTGGTGGAGGTTCGGTAGGCCATAAACTCTCCTTGGTTGCCCAAAAGGGCGATTGCAAATATAGATATCAAAGATAAATGATATATAGGACAATTTATAAGAGATGCTCATGGTTAGAGATTGTTCTTTGAATGATTCCTTGTTGCAAATAAATACTAGTATGTACATCTGTATGCATCAGTCATATACTTAAATATGCTATGTGAAAGAATGTTGAGCATTAATCACAACTAGTAAACACTGCTAGTGTACCACTGATCTGATCTTTACACCAAAAAATATGAGACGTAAAAGCAAATATTACCTCCCCATCAAAAGTTACCGCATCTGTTTGCTCTGTGAATCTCTCCTTCCCCTCAAGATTATCAAGATAATCAAGTGTCTCCAATCCCTCAACACGGACTTCACTGAAAATTTAACAGCAGCATTAAATGTTTACAAAGAGTACTAGAAGAAAACATTCTAAAATCAGATATAATATATTAAGTTAACAGATAAAAGTCAAATTCCAATAGATGAGCCAACATATAAAAAATAGATTTAGTACTGAAAAATCAGATATATCAGCTAAAAGAAAGAGCCTCTAGAACCGATTGCCGCAAGAAAACAAAATGAAAAAGAACATTGAAAAGTGTGCAGACAGTTGGAGGCATGTATGCACATGCACACACTTACACACAAGCGCCCACGCACAAAAAAAACTTGTTGGGGTACACCTATTTTCAGTATCTTAAAACCCATAATCACCCCCTCTAACTCGCTGAAACAAAACCTACATCGCTTGATAACAAGAAGTTAAGTAGCTTTCCCAAGTTTCTAGCATTCATATTCTCCAGGTAACCAAATCCTGCAATTTATAGGATTCCATTCAAACTACCTTTCTGTTCCTCAAAATCATAATACTTAGCAACTGGCTTAATTGTTTAACTCCCATCCCATCATTACATACCCTTCAAAAATTATTTGCTTAAATTTAATATACATTTTCTTCTGAGGTTAGCTTAGAACATATAGCATGTATAACATTTTTCTTAACGCTCTGCTATAGATGCAAAAACTAATTCTTCGTTTGAAGTAATTTTGTTATGAATTTTATCAAAATAAGGTTAGAAAAGTTATAAAATTATAAAAGATATTTAATCACCATGTAAACTTAAAACTGATCAAACAATTTGTACATATGACTTAAGGCTTATTATCTGCAAAATAGCACAAGATATTAAAAGGAGAAAGTTAGCTATAAAATAATTTATTAATGCCAAGTTTGTTAAATGCCAAGTTTGGTTAAATATCAGAATTTTACGTTTTGTATGCATGCTCTTAAAAAGTTTGAACCATCACTTTTTTCTTGCCTCCAACCTACCAAAAGGCTGAAATCTGGCTTTGTCCCTGTCCCTAGAAATTAACCTATAGGTTTCAAATGTAACGTAGAGGATCCATATTAAATGAAGCAGAGGTCAAAAATAATGGTGAGCTGAAAACCTGACATCTGAAACAGACAGGTAATTGCGTAATGCGAAGGTGAAGCTCAGTGCCTTGCTATCAGTGTTCTTCACTCTGGGAATTAAGGTTAGTTTACCAGGAGCTAGTATAACACGAAGTCGCAATTCAAAGCTGCAGAAAATATTAACCAAATGAGGAGCCGTTTCTGACAACATATTTCTTTCATGTCTTTCTGTAAATAAATTCTGAGCCCCACCTGCGTGGCCATGTCTTGAGGTCATCATCTGTGGACTTCAAGATGATGTCAACTGATGACTGACTCTTAGAAGTCGTTGGTGGAGATGACGAGCTGTCTAATTCCCATAATCTGTTCCTTGCAAATCCATGCTGCTCTAGAGATCCCATATTGCCAAACTGCAAATGGACATGTCAGCTATGCTCCGACTACAGTGAAGAAAGCAAGTTGTATTCACAATGATTAACGTATAAAACTACCTGAGGAAAGCAGATGGGTATTCCTCCCCTGATGGACTTAGTTGGCTTTACAACAGCCTACGAAAACAAAGTACCATCAGAAATGAGAGAGAATTATCAATCTGCTTTATTATGAACCTGAGAAGTTATGATCTACAAAACATTTAAGCATGTTGCCCACAAATGGGTGTTCTGTTATAATTTTTGTATCATTTATTGATAAACAATAAGATACGACATTATTCCACTTTTGCGCCATTCATAAGTCTCTTTAAAAGAAATATTTTCAGAGAGATTAGAAACTAAATTCAACAAACAAAAATAGTGTTCAACTAGCCATTTCTTACAGATTTCAAACATGATCTTTTACATTGAGTATGATGTAACATGTCCTTTTACATTGACTGTAATGTCTCTCTGTACATATACTTGATTCTTTTGTTTGAGGTTAAGAGGGTCGAAATTTGGATGGTCAGACTGAAATTTAAAGCAAATCATTTGTACTGTTCATTATTCATTTACAGTTGAGAGATCATTTATTTATTTAGAGACTGAGAATTGCAAATTGTACACCCCACAATTAAGTTTTGGTTTGTTGCATCAACCCTGTCATAATTATAAACATATAGTCATCTTGAATGATTTCCTTGATCAAGGTTTTGCATGCAAGACCCACGCAAATTTATAAAAGTGCATAACTTGTTCAGTGTTATACTCTAAACTTTACACATTTTCCATTTACACCATAAGAACTTGAAAGATGTGCAACAGACAATGTTAAGGAAAGCGCTAGGCGGCCTATGCGTAGGCACCAAAGCGGAACACAATCAGAAACTGTAGAAGAATTTTGCTGCACCTATTGAGGCATGTGTTCTTTGTGAAGTAGGACTAAAAATGAGGCATATGCTTTTAGTAAACCAAGGTATACAAAGCTTGAGAGAGTGAATATGGTTGAAGACAATGCTAGGGTGTGGAAGAGATAACACAAGGGATACAAGTGACGCCAATTGAGCAAGAAATATAAGTTGTCCTATATATCGTTTATCTTTGGCGTTATAAGTTAGGCAAAATTTGATGTCTTTCCTGTAGTTTCTGTTACCTGCCACTATGGTGAACATTACTATGAAGTGAACAACAAAGCATTTCTCCAGAACCACTAGAAGCAGGTACACTATTAGATAGAAGAAGTTGAGCATTGTATTTAAAATCTAAGATGGTTTTAACTAGAGACATGTTATGATGAGTTCATTTCATTAATTAATGGAACGTTCATGTATATTAAAAAGCAGCAGTTTTTAAAGCATGAAAAAGGTTGTAACTTGTAACCTACTAGGATCCATGTTTGTGCTGGGAGGGAGTGAGAGAGGGGGAAAAAAGTCCCTCGATATATTCATCTCCAAAAAGTCAAGAAGTTCATATGGAGTTCACATGCTATGAAAAGATAGAAAGTTGAATGATAGGGGGAAAAACTATTAACATGTCATAAGATACAACCACGTAGGTGTGTTAGCACTTGTCAAATAAAAGATAGCGAAAAAATATGTTGAAGGGAGAGGAGAAGCATAGATAGATTTTAGAAGCATGCTCATACATAATAAGCCAGCTTAACACAAATGAGTAATGCAGTTAAACATACTCATGCACATGCTACAAGATATCAACATAGCATTTATTTAGTCAAACATAACACATGCTTCGAAGGCATCTCTTTATTCAGAGGTTAAGTCAGATGTGTAAAGTGCTAACAAGAGTAGCACGGGATAGCACTATCAAAGCAGATATACCAAATACAAATCTAGATTAATCATCATTGTCTACAGTAAGAAAATGCAAAGAAGACAGAATCCACCTACTTTTGAGCTCATAAAAAGCAGTTCTTGTCGCCTTTGATTCTTCCACGAAACAACTTGCCCACCGTGGAGATAAACCTGGACAGATTGTTGGATATCATGTCCCCATGATATAATTTTGATGATAACAATTTATTCATAATATGAATTACTATGTGTATTATTGTGCACTAACATTTCAATACAGCTATCAACATGAACAAGTGCAAGATGAGTTCAAGGCATCATGAAGTAAAGAAGATGAAGAGCTTATACATCGATGTAATTTTTACATTTTCTTTACTTAGAAAAATTGTACAAGCCTTGATCACTCACACATACACACACAGAGATTAGAACACATTAACAAAGACTTAATGTGTTGGTTAACAATAGAAATCTCATATGTTAATCATTAGAGTATTTAGTCAATTAATGAGTCTCAAAATATTTCATACATAACATTTTGAACCCTTAATAGTTGACTAATTGGATTAGTAGTCGACTACTGAAGTCTTAGATCAAAGTTTCTGAAATTTTACAGAGTAGTCGACTACTATGTCTTGTAGTCGACTACAGATACAGTTTTTCTGTATATCTGAATTTGAATTTAAAACTGTATATAGCCGTTTATATCCGTTTATTCGGTTTAAAAAATTATCTTTTCAAGGGATATAAATAGGTTATGAGTTCAGAAATTTGAGACATTGATTCCTATCCACAAGCTTTAACATTTGTGCATTCTCAAGAGTTCAAAATTCAGATTTTTGCCTAAGTGTTAAGAAAAATCAATTTCTGAAATAGCCTTTGATCCTCATCCTATATACAACTTATTTAGGCAATTTTCCAGAGATTAAAAAGTTCCTAAAGCCATTGTTACACATCACAATACACTCAAGGCTTATAGGAATTGAGTTGTTACAAGGCAAGTGCTCTCACGGGTGTGAGAGGTGTAATCTCTTGGTGAAGAAATTGTGTGTAATTTGCAGGGACTTGCAAATTGGGCAGGTTTGCTGTTTGGTTTTGTAAGTTATTCAAAATCATAGTGGAACTCTCAAGTGGGATTTACTTGGAGACTGGATGTACACCTGGGAGGTGGAACCAGTATAAAATTTTGTGTTTGTGATTGTGATTTTCTGTGTTTATGCTATCTTCTTTGCAAATTATAATCTTCTTTGCATAAAATTTTAAAGAAACACTATTCACCCCTTAGTGTTTAAGTGTGATTAGATCAGATCCTACACAGATCACAATATCTGTACATGTCAATGACTACTTGCACTTTTGCTATATCATGCCACTACTACGAAGCAGTGAACGAATATCATCATACACGCATCATATGTTATTTATATGGTAACAAAAGAATGAAAAATTAATTAATTAACAAAGAAGTAGGCAATCTCCGGTAATGTTTACTATAAGCACCACAGTAAATGTCTTCATGCTTCATATACCAACAGTCTTGGCAAGTTTTTCCACAATAATGTCTATTCGCTTAACCAAAAAAGGTATACAGTTTTGGATTTAATTCATCCATCATACTTGTCATTATCCGCAATCAATCAACCAGAATCTAACATGACCAACCCACCCGCTGTTAACATTCGGAAAATTTCCGTTAAATTTATCTAAGAATCGAGATCCATCAGCATTTTGTTGGGCATATTTCTAATCGCCTCAGTTTAAATTTTGTATGTAACATATTAATCAATCCAGTCTCCCAAATTGGCTTCAAACCCTTTTGAATCTTTGATCCAATTGCAATTAATAACAGAATCCATCCAAAATAAAAGTCTGGGCATTCATTTAACAATGTGTTGCATGAATTGAAATATTTGTTCAAGAACAAAGAATCAATTGCTGCCCTGCAAACAAGATTCAATCTTTTTCGGCAAGAAATGAAGGAAGAAGGCAAATAAAAGAGAAAGAGACCTCAGCAGAAGATCCAGTGGGCTCCGTGAGAATAATCCTGGGGAATCCGCTGCCATCGTTAACCACGCTCCAAGGCATTATAAATCTCCAATCTCAAATCTCTCAATCCAAAACAAAAATTAAATTACAACAATTTTTTTTTTATGGAAATAAAAAGAGAGAAACTGCAGCTTGCATTGCCAGCATGCGAGCAATGGGGATCCTGGATGATGAAAAATCAAGTTGAATTTTAGCAAATTTAATAATTTGGATGATTTTATTATTATTATTATTTTGTGGGCAAAACAAGGGAAGGAGGTGTGAGATGCTGAAGCTAAATAAGGGACCAAATCACAAAAATATTTGGGCTTTAAATATGGGCTTTGGAGAGGATTCGAAAATTGGGCCTCTCCTGAGGTCCAAGACAATGGGGAACAAAGCCACGAGAAGAAAACAAACAGGATAGAGACTCTCAATCCTTTTCATTGCCGATGTCTTCCACCATGAAAATGGATGGACGCTAAATCTATACATGTTATGTTACGGTTCATTTTTAAAACCTCCTACAGATAAACACCCCAGTATAGCTCTCAAGATGTCATCTTCACTTTACTACACTAAAAGTTTATCCTTTTTTCACTTTGATACCCTCAAAGTTCCGATCTCATTTCGCGTTGATATTGTCATCTAATTTTTGTTAGGTTTACTTATAAAATTTATTTGGCGTGCTTGACATTATGTGACGTACTTAACATGCGATACCCCGTCCGTTGTTAAAAGAAACATTTAGTTTGTTTTGATCCTTAGCAATTTGGTAAAATGGATCTAAATATAATAGATACTTAATAAAAAAAACTAATAAATGTTGGGCAAAGCCGCAAAGGTATCAATGTGAGTTAGAAATGATAACTCAGGGTATCAAATGTTAAAATACATTTCTGTGGTAGCAATGTGAAAAATTGAATAAAATTTGGATATATATACATATGACATGACCGTTTTTGTCAAGGGTTTTAGATTTTAGTCCCTAAAATCTTGAATAGTTCTATATTAGTCCCTCAAATCTTTAAAATTGCTCATGCATTCCTCGAGTCCCAGGCTGTCTTCCTCGAACTAAAATGTCCCTCTAACCGCCTGTGAATTGTATAGTGTTGTGCCTCGAGAACCCAAACCAATCGCCGAGAAAAAGATAAACCACAACCAAAATCAATAGCACAAACAATCAAACACCAGTTTTACGTGGTTCGGCAAGATGCCTACGTCCACGGGGCAAGGAGGGGGGAGTTTTCACTATTAGAAATCAAGGGGATACAACTAGGGTTACAAATCTCTCACCAAAACCCTCAACAAATCACTCTTGATCTCTCCCAATTGCTCCAACAATAGAAGCCCAAGAACTCACCCTCAATGGCTACTAAAACCCCTTGCTTACAAACCCTAAAACCAAGTTTGGGTATTTATAGAAAACCCAAACGAAACGGGTCTGGAAAACAGACCCAGCTCAAAACCACTACGGCGGTCGACCGCCCCGGTCGACCGCCAAGCTGTCTGCTGCCTGAATCCACTTCTGAGCTCCATCTCTACAAATCTCCACCTCGGCGAAGATTCTACCAAAACTGAGCCGACACCAACCAAACCAATACCTCAACTGTTGCATCCAGTACGCCATGGCAACGGACTCATGACAATGGACTCCAATCATAACACGTCGAGACCCAAACGGGAGTGCGAACACTCAACCCCAAAACAACTGTGTCTACTCACCAAATCGGCTGTATCAGAAAATTGACTGCCTACGTATCCTCTCCAAGGAATCAAGCCTTCACGTAGTTCACCCAATGGCCTCCAAAGGCCCTCAATCCAACCTGCAGTTGATAGCATCATCAACGACCCCAATCTGAAAACAATCCAATACCTCCACCTGAGATGTAACAATGGCCGTATAAAAAACATATCCACCAGCTGCATCCAAATCAACTACATCATCATCTGCACCCATAAATAAATGACTCTCATGCTATGCCACCTCAGCTGGAATCCCAAACAATGCAGAATGACCTGGAGTATGTGGGGAAATCCCCACCCAATGTGGAGTAGCATCAACCTCCACCCGCTGTGATATCCCTCTGACCTGATCAATACTCTCCACCTGCCGAGAGTCCAAAGTGACAAACCTGCTCAGACCAAACTCAGAAGCTCCCCACTGATAGCCGAACGAGCCTCTGAATCCCAAATGCGCAATCGGATCCAATCTCACATCAGCGATGTGACCAAGTGCTGGGTAGCCCAATATCCGACGCCACCAAAAATCTAAAACAGCCCCACCAGATCTAACAACTCTATACGCAGCAGTCGACAACCTCATAAGATGACCTAAACCTGTCGAAGCCTGAATACCAGATCCACTGCTTGACAACCAATGCCGATCCTCCTCCAGAAAAGAACTACCCACTAAATCCGTCATCTCATCACGTCGCCCCACTGTCTCCTCTCCTCTGAAGTGTCTCCAACTGCCAAATCCGTCATCTCATCACGTCGCCCCACTGTCTCCTCTCCTCTGAAGTGTCTCCAACTGCCATGAGCTCAGCCCCAATGCAAGAAAGGACCCCCTACTAGAACAAGTATGACTGGTAACCTTTCTGCCCATACACCTCCTCCAACTGTTGCGGACTACTAGGGCTTTATACCAACAGAACTTGGTTGCAACCCAAATATGCCTAGTACAATCCCCAACATAGGAAACAAAATAACGATTACCTCCCGATGATGCCTCCTCGGAAAGCCCCCCAATGCCTGACTGAACACCTCCAATAAGACCCCTCGATCGATGGATAGAAGTGCTGAACTCCACCTCGGTCTTCTCGCTCATCCCAATGTGCTCACAGGACTTCAATCTGCAGGTCATAGCACTTCTCAACAATCTGTGCACGGCATAACCAATAATATATCCCAGCACCAAATAATGCCACAGTCTAGCTATAGAAGTAGTCAGCGCCCTATCAACTACCGTGCTCCCAAGCAGATAATACAAGTTACTCCGTCTGACTCCCTTCATCACAATCATGGACCCCGATGTGACCTTCAAGCGAGAATCCGTCAAGGTCACCCTATAGCCTGATGCCTCCAATACCGAATCCGTCAAGGTCACCCTATAGCCTGATGCCTCCAATACCCCAAGTGAAATGATGTTCTTCCTCAGTTAAGGAACGAACCTCACATCAGCCAACTCCTGGATCATCCCGTCACTCATCCGAATCTGAACGGTACCAATACCATCAATATGGCATCTGTGATCATTACCCATAAGAACAGCATCCCCTCTTTCCAACTCCTGAAAGCTGAAGAACAAATCCCTTCTAGGACATATGTGGTAAGTAGCACCAGAATCTAACATCCACTCAGTGGAGTTGACAACATCAACTGACGGAAGAGCTGGGCACGAATAGCCCGAAGAATATGAATCTGAAACATCGCCACTAGCCTTGGCAACATTCACCTCTGAAGCTTGAATAGCTTTTCATTTATTCTTCACGGCTTGCAATTTTGGGCATTCGGCTTTCCAATATCCATCCTCTCTACAAAAGGCACACTGATTCCTACCAACTGCAGGATGCCCCCCTCTAGACTGTGACCTTCTTCCACGGTTTGGACTTCTAGCTCTTGCAACCAATGCCCCCGCAACCGGCTCGATGGAAGTCTCCTTGTCCTTCTTTCGAAGTTGATAGTTCACAAGGGCTATGGTGACCTCACTATACGAAAAAGATGCCTTCCCATTTATAAGAGTGAGGACAAAGGTCTCATATTCCTCGTCGGGCAAGGAACTCAATAACAACAATGCTTTATCCTCATCTTCAACAATGACATCTACGTTCGCCAAATCTGCAAGTAGCTTCGTGTAGTGGTTCATGTGATCACTAATGGATGTCCCCTTCTTCAATTGGAAGCGATAAAGCCTCCTCTTCAAATGCAAACGATTTTCGACGCTCTTCGTCAAATATTTGCCCTCTAGGACCTCCCAAATCTTCTTTGCCAAAGTTTCATTCATCACATCATATTTTAGATCTTGGGTAAGGCAAGACCTAATCACACCACACACCGTTCTATTCATTTTATTCCAAACCTTATCATCAATTTCGGCCGGTTTCCCGTCCAACTCCAACGTATCTTCTAAATTTTGCGCATTAAGCGCATCCATGACTTCACATCGCCAAAGTCCAAAATTATTTGTGCTGTTGAACTTTTCCACATCTATTTTCATAGAATGTATATTCAAACTTTAGACGGTCTTCACACTAGAAGAACCCTCCCCACTTTTATCTTTTCCGGCCATAATCTCAAAGCACCCAATAAACAATCACACTAGAAGAACCCTCCCCACTTTTATCTTTTCCGGCCATAATCTCAAAGCACCCAATAAACAATTTTGGAACAAATATGAAATAGATCCAACTTAAAAAAAAGATAGAAACTTTACCACAAATATCCCACCTTTATCACCAATCGAAGCTCTAGATGAACTTCCCAACTGATCTACACCTCCAAAAAGCCCAAGCGTTGCCCGGAGCTCTGATACCACTTGTTGTGCCTCGAGAACCCAAACCAATCGCCAAGAAAAAGATAAACCACAACCAAAATCAATAGCACAAACAATCAAACACCAGTTTTACGTGGTTTGACAAGATGCCTACATCCACGGGGCAAGGAGGGGGGAGTTTTCACTATTAGAAATCAAGAGGAACAAACTAGGGTTACAAATCTCTCACACCAATGTCCAGAGACTTCTGCGGTCGATCGCGGCAGTCGACCGACCCGAAAGCAGAAACTTCTGCGGTCGACCGCCGCGGTCGACCGCCACCAATCCCGATGCCCAGTAAGCCTCGTGCACGAACGCGGTCAACCGCCCCGGTCGACCGCCAAGCTGTCTGCTGCCTGAATCCACTTCTGAGCTCCATCTCTACATATAGATCCGTCCTTTCTATAGGGTATTTTGATCGAATCTTTTCTTGTTTTAGCTCTTAACTGCAGCTTTGGGATCAAAAACTAAATTTAAAACCCAGCATGACCATATGCTAAGTACTCATTAGGTACTTAAATGCTTGCCACAAAACAACATACTTAATTTTCCTAAAAGCCTGTCGGTGATGAACAGAATAATTGAATTTCTAGAAGAATAGAATGATGTAAGCAGGTGAATACACCAAAAGGCTGGGCAAGTAAGAAGACAACGAGAAAAAAAAGGACTACAATTTTTTTTTTTTTTAGACAGAATAATGGGACCATATAATTATGATTGATATTATTGGCACTCATC